CGATTTGTACAACCACCTGCAAGATCTGCCCATGCACAAGTGCACGCCCGAGCTCGCACAGCAGTATTTCATGCAAATTGCGCGTGGTCTCGCGGCCGTCCATAGCTGCGGCCTCGCCCACCGCGATCTCTCGCTCGAAAATGTCTTTGTCGACGTCAATGGTCAACTCAAGATTGGCGACTTTGGCCTCGCGACGCCGCTCGCAGCAACGGCCACACATGCGGTCGGGAAGAGCTACTACATGGCGCCCGAGATGCACACCAGTGGCGACTACAGCGCGGCGACCGTCGACGTCTGGTCCCTCGGCATCGTGCTCTGGATGCTGCTCACCGGCGTCCCGCTCGTCGAGTCGTCGTCCGAGGTTGACCAAGTGTTTGGCTTCGTCCAGCGCGTTGGTATCCAGACGCTCGTCCGCGCGTGGGGACTGACATTGCCAAGCGACGCTGTCGAGATGCTGGCGCTGCTTCTGGTCGCAGACCCGGCGCTGCGTCCGTCCATGGCCACGGTGCTGCAGCATGCGTACTGCCAGCCCAGAAGCGATGTGTCGGTGCGGTAGAGACAGACGTTTTGAGCTTTTGAAATGGATCGATTCGCGTACAAAAGTAGAATAGTTGTAGCGACGCTGCACGTGGTTATTTCACGAAGACCCAATTTTGTCAATTTTGTGTACAAAGGCTTTGTCTTCTTGTTGCCTAACGCTAACGTTATATGCATCGGGGGATATTTTCTAGGCGGCTCGCTGAAATCCATCGAGGTAGGTCGATGTTGATAGCTGCTCAACTGGTATCGCGAATTTGTCGTTGGGTTTGTATGTGCTACGTTTACCTCTATGCCGCCATGTCTAAGCGATGCCTCGGCGTTGTAACGTATGGCCGTCGAGGAATAGGGGTACCGGTGACTTCTCGTTGACCTATATGCGCGTCACAGTTCGCAGCGACAGGTACCAAAGTGTACTCACAACGAATCGACACACAATTGTCGATTCAATCCACGTTTATTTCTTTCCGGATACATGTAGTACCAGACACAAAAATGTGCAGTTAGACGTTGTAAAAAGCAGGGTGGGTCATGACGCTCTGTATGACCTTGTTGAGGACGTCGCTGTGCTCGTGTGCGATCGCAATGCCGCGCATCAAGAGCGTGCGTTGCAGATACTGCTCGAACGAGAGATTCCGGTTCCCCAGTTTTGCATAAGTCTGCATGTGGTGGTGGTACCCCGCCGGGTAGATGCCTTCGACATAGCCGGTGACCGACTCGAACGATGCGCGCGGCTGGAGGTAGTTGACACTGCGAAGCAAGCACGAATGGGCCGTTATCCGGCGAATCTCATTCCTACATAGCACAAGTTGTCCTTTGACTCGCAACAAATCAGTCATTGTACCACTCGAGGTACTCGTCCGGGTCCAAAACGTCGGGGTACGTGTCGTCGATCGTGACGGAGCGATACGCGACGAGGATGCGGTCGTTGTTGTCGTTGAAGCGCGCATGGCAAATCTTGAGGCTTGTGCCTTTCGAGTTGCCCGTCTCGTCGACGCTGTAGCTCAGCCGACCGTCCCCATCCTGCGCTTGATGGAGGACCTAATCAGTGGCGTGAGTCTCGTGTCAGCACCTTCCGACAATAAACCCGAATGTTGGCCGTGTGGACACCGGGGAAAAGCTCGCCGGTCGACGCGCAGTTGACAGCCCAGAGCGCAGCGGCGACGATTTGCGGACTTGCTTGTACAACTTTTTGGAGCACGATCTTGCGCCCGCGATGACCCCACTCGACTTTGACCGAGTCTTCGTACGCGTGGGGAAACACGGACGGTGCGAGGTGGCTGCTCGCGCTGTGATAAAGCTGTTTTTGAATCCACTCCAAACCCAGCTGACGCATCTCGATGTCTTGCAGGAGTGTCACGTTGGTCCAACCATTGGTCGAGAGGCTCGTGGTCTAAAAGCATCAATCGTGACGTCAAGGAGGCATTAATGATAGACGCGAGTACGGTCGGTGCGGACATGGTGCTCATCCAGTGCTGCAAGCGCGTCGTGATTAAGCGGGCTAGGCGGACGCGGTGCTGGAGGTCGCGGTTGTCGTTGTCGGCGGCCTCACGCGCGTCCCGGAGCGCCGCTGCCACCTCTTCCCACGGCAGCATCGTCCCTCGGAGGGCGTAGAATCGAGAGGTGAGCGCCACGTAGGCGTCTTGCAGCGCCGCACGCTCAGCGAGGTACGCGACGCGGGCTTGCCGCTTCATGAGACGGTCGTGGGCGCGCTGGCGCTCGAGCGCTGCTTTACTGGACGTCTTGGGTCGTGTCATGGTATTTGATCTCTTGTAGAACGAGGCTGCAAAAGGCAATGTGACTGGTGTCGCTACCGCCACAGGATTTGAAATACAGGCGTCGGTTTACGTAGCATGGGGAATGTAATGTTGGCTCGTCGGGTGTATGCAACTCTTGTTTCCTCGGCATGACAGGTGGCGCTCTGCAGTGCGGTACAAGAAACTTGCACGTCACGCGCCTGGAATCAACTCGGGCAAGAGAACAGTAATCCAAAAGTGGACCCGACGTTCGAGACAGCTATGGACAAAAACGCGTGCTGATGTGTCATTATTGTAAACGGTTGGTATGGTTCGTCGCACGATGACGCGACGGGTGACGACGACGTCCTTGCCACTCGGCTGCAGGACAGGCGTGTCGGTGTGAATGGCACGAGGCAGGCCCGCGCTCAGATGGACGGGCGACTGCCGTTTGACGCAAAATAAATTTGATACCGCTTTGCTGGACTACTCAATTATATCACGACCAGAGTATCTGTAATCACGTTCAACGCACCATCACTGGTGTCGCTACCTCAGCGGACTGGGCGAACACGCACGCAGTGGCCGCACAAAAGATCACGTGTCGAAATGAAAGGAGAGAGGCAGCGTGGACGTAGAAGCTGCACCTCGCGCATTACCGCTATACTGCTCGTATCTGCTCTGCCCTACAATTGTACCACGCCGTGTCGAAGTGCAGCTGCGTTCGACTCACCAGGTGTCATGAGAGTTGGCATGAACTTGGGTGAGAGACTTATGAGAGCCTTGAGGAAGATAGCTTCGTTCCATTGGCGCTTCAATGCACCTTTAACCCCTGACCTTTGACTGTAATGATACCATCAGTGCCATCATCATTATTCTGCAGCTGGTTCTTTAGGGCCAGGGTCGACGATAGTGCTCTTGGGATCGTCGCCCTCATAAACGACCATAAGCGCAATGTGTATCAACTTGCGCCTTAAGGGCAATCGGTTCCGGTGCGTCACTGCTTTTCACATCATGCGCCTTGGACAGTTGGCCTGGACACCGACCGACCGATATCTGGTTGTAACGTTACTTTAGCAATCCGATCTTTGCGGCATCTCCAAGGTCAACAACCATTATGGCGTGTGATGCCAGCTGTTGCGGTGTGTTGAACAAAAATGCTTTTTTCAAAGAGAGCTTTACATCCCATGGGGCACAGAGTGCGGGACGACGCCATTGCATGTACATTCAGTCACCAAGCTGTGAAGCGTGAGGAATCGACGAACGGTCGAGCGAAATGACCTCGCGTGGGTTCTGAATTCAAAGTCAAAACAAACTTCGTGTTGGCGATTTGTGCTCAAGCACCTACTACTCGTGGGGGCCTTTACATCTTTACGGATTGGCGTCGTGTAAAATATTGCATTCCAACGTTGCACTACTGATGGACGTCCGCGTCGAACTGGTGTCAGCAGTGGAGTAGGCGTACGTGCTTTGATGCGAAGAAAAGACACGCCGCTACCGAGCGATGGAACGCAGGTTTAGCGCCCGAGTACACTAATCCAAGAACTACTCGCTTCGGGACATGCACGCGCCACGTCTCATTCCAAGATACCATCAAATACTACTCTCACGTGACAGCAAGATATATTTCAGTAGTTGCTGCTGAATTGGGTCCTCTATTACAATAGATAAAACTATGCTAAATAAAATTGTTGGACTTTCTTCGTTGTGTGTACTCGGTTGAGGGACTTGATTTAGGCAGGCGGAGGCAGGAGCGCAATCCGCGGGACTAGGTGACGTCGCGGCCACTCGTGTTGGGCGAGGAGCCGGAGAAGCCGACGAAGAGCAGGCTGCTCGGGCTCTTGTACGAGGCTGTGGTGCAAGTGCAGTTGAGCGACGCGTGCCGCCTTGACGGCAATCGTCCATGGACTTGGCAGTGGTAGGTCGGCGCGAAAGACGCGATCGTTCCGGACTCGCCAGACGTTGAACCAGA